AAGGCTCATCCACGTTGTAGCATGTATTACAATTTTTAAAAATTTATTGATTTTAGAGAGAGGGAGAGGGGAGAGAGAGAGGGAAGGAGGAAGGGAGGTGGGGAGAGAGAGAAACATCCATTTGCTGTCCCCTTGTTTATGCATCGTTGGTTGATCCCTGAATGTGCCCTGACCGGGGACTGAACCTGAAACCACGGCATATGGGGATGACGCTCTGACCAACTGAGCTACTCGACCAGGGCCTATAATTTCATTCTTTACAAAGGCTAAATAATACGTCCTTGTGTATATGAGCCACATTTTATCTCTTCACCCACTGAGGAACGCTTGGGCTGTCGCTACACATTGGCTCTTAGGAGTAATGCTGCTATAAACGTCCGTGTACACGTTTCTGCGAGCACATCTGCCATTCATTTTGGGGCGTATATTCCCAGATGTGGCATTGCTGCGTCATACAGTAACTCGATGCTGAACTTTTTGAGAAACTGCTGACTCTTTTCCAAAATTGTCACAGCCTTTTACATTTCATTACACAAGGGTTCTAATTTCTCCACATCACTGCCAAAACTTGTTATTCCCTGACTTTTTCAAAAAGTGTCACTTATTATTATTTTTTTTAATTGAGGGGAAATCCACATAACACAAAATTGAAAATTGTAACTGTACAATTCACTGAAAACTGAACAAAGACATCTGTACATCCCGTAAGAATATACCTTTTACAGGACCTGGCTTCAGCAGCTTTCCAATTGGCTATGGATTTTCTTTGCTAATAAAACTGTCTTTTATTTAAAAAAGCAAAGTGTACAATTCAGCAGCATTTAGTAAATTCACACTGCTGTACAGCCACCATAAGTAGGTCTAAAACATTTCTATCACCCCTAACAGGCTTTGCACCCATTTATCAGTCACTCCCTGTGCCAGCTGGCCCCTAACAACCAACAGTCTGCCTTCTGGCTCTATGAATTTACCTGTTTGGCCACTTCGTATTGTTATACACCGAACTGTCCCCTTCCCCCCCAATTCATCTGTTGAAGCCCTAACTTCCGATGTGACTGTATTTGGAGACAGTGTTTCTTTATGGAAGTAATTAAGGATAAATGGGGTCAAAAAGCTGGGGCCCTAATCCAAGAGGATCGGTGCCCCCATAAGAGGAAGAGCCACCAGAGCGCCTCTCTCTCCCTTTCTGCAAGCAGAGAGGAGAGGCCACGGGAGGTCACGGCTGGGAGGCCGCTCTCTACAAGCCAGGAAGAGGGCTCTCCCCAGAAACCAAATTTTCCGGCACCTTCATCTTGGACTTCTTGCCTCCAGATCTGTGCAAAAATAAATTTCTGTTGTTTAACCCACCCGGCCTGTGGCATTTTATGGCAGCCTGAGCAGACTGACAGACAGATACACGGACTCACACAGTATGTGGCCGTCTGTGACTCGCTTCTTTTACTTGATGTAATGTTTTCAAAGTTCATGCATGTTGTGGCGTGTACCCATACTTCATTCTTTCTTAAGGCTGAATGTTAGTCGGGTATGGATATACTACATTTTACTTACCCACGCCTCCACTGGGGGACATTTGGGTTGCTTCTACCGCTGGCTGTTGTAAATAGTGCTGTGATGTGTGAGGTTTCCAGTTTCCTCCACAAAGTTATTTCCCCTGTTTTTGATTACAGCCATCCTAGTGGTAGGTCATTCTGGCTTTTTGATTTGTCGGGGATGAAGTCTCAGGCCCCAACCATTTTTCCTTGTTTGAGATCAGAATTATTAATAAATTATCTTTATTTTTAAATAAGGCAGGTTGGTGTCCAGGCGACTTTCCTGGAAGACGCACAGAATGTTTGCCTGCCCTAGGGGGCTGTGAATATCTTCTACACATCAATGTGAGAAAGAAACATCAATTGGTTGCCTCCGGTGTGCCTGTCACCCGGGATTGAACCTGTAACCTGGGTATTTGCCCTGACAGGGAACTGAACCTGCCACCTTCGGGTACATGGGGCGATGCTCCAACCAACTGAGCCCCACTGGCCAGGGCCCCAGTTTCTTATCATCGAAGATTGTTCATCTTAGAAATATCACTGGAAACGTCTTTCCCTTATTGCTCTGTACTGTCATGTGTATTTAGACCTCGACACTTCAGATCCACAACTAAAACCGGCCTGCCCGGATAACCACTGAAACTTCTCGGCTGGTGGAACTACCTCTGCGGTTTCTACTTTTTGGTCCATTTGGCTCCCGGTCCCTCAGGCGCTGTGTCACCCTAGGGTGGAGGAAGGTAGCCACTGGTACCATCTCGGCCAGGCAGGCTTAGGTACGGGCCAGTGGAGTCTTGATTAAACATCCAGGCCTTTCTCTCCTCCCACTCTCTGATCTCCACAGCGACTGGAAGCCAAGGGCCTGGGAGGCGGGAAGGTGCAGGTCACGCACTGTGGAGGCTGGCTGAGCCAGAAAGGGGCAGGGGGAGCAACTCGAGAAGAACCAGCCCCTGGCAGCCCCCTTCCCCTCCCTCTCTTCCTCCCTGAGCTCATTTGGCCCCCTAAAAGGTCTCGTTTCCCTTACTTTGACAGGCTCCCTCTGAACCCCCTGCCTTTGCGTGGAGTCTGTTCTCTGGCAGGAATCCTTTACTCCATTCCTTTGCCTGGCAAATAAACTCCTACTCGTCCTACAACGCCCACTCTCTACACGTGCAGAGGCAGCAAGGTCCTAGGAATATTTAGTACAAAGAAAATTAAGGTCAGGGGATGTGACCTTGGGTGAGACACTGCTTTGATTTTAAGCCACCCCCTCCTTCTTTTTTTTTTTGCAAAATAAGAATGGGAATATAGCCGCCTTGCCGTCCCTGTCCCAGGGACCTGGAAAAGGTCAGTAGATAAACGCTCTCCCAAATGCAAAGCATTGCACAAATTGTTCTGTCGCTGCTCTCCCGCTGCTTAGAATGCCCGCCTATTTGTTCGCCCCTGTCGGTGCCAAGCTCAGCTTCGGTGCATTCAAGTAGTGACTCAAAC